CAGCGGTCTTTAAAGGGTTGGTTGCGATCAACTCCCTTCATGCTGCAGTATGAGGTAGGGTGCTGCGGGGCCGTGTTAGTGCTATATGCGCTAACCCTCATGTTCAGGGCATGCGACTGGTCCCGTGGCGCCAGCTCAGTGTGATTGAGTGTCACAAATGATGATTGAATGATGATATGATTGATGTGGAAATAGACTGTGACCTTAGTTGCGTATTCTTTATGATGATTCTCCTTAACTGTTATTATTGATTATTGTGCTTACCCCTATTTGCTGAGTCCATTCCTGGTTTTAAAACTAGAGTCTCTTAAGCATATATCTCCCTGCTTCAAAATGATTTTCATATATCTATATATATCTATCTATAATGTATTTCAACGCGTTGGAGTGGGTTACCAGCATCATTCGCTGAACAGATATATTTGGCTTTCAGGCACCGATGAGTAGACCCGGAGCGCGCTAGAGATTCGAAGCATAGATTAGTTAGTTTCCCTACGGCCTGCGTGCCATGATTATGTATTGACACTTGTATTGAGGATTTTAGTAGTTAGCCTGTGCATCTGAGTTCTCCAGCTCAGATGTGGCATAGCCCCCGCACTCTTATGTTTGCTTTTTGGGATTTAATGAGAATTCACCTTTATTATATAGTTTAAAAAGTTTAAAAATTTTGGGGTGTTACAAAGGCGGTGAGCAAAGCTCAACTAGGTGATTTTGCCTTTCCCTCCATTTGATCCTTCAAGTTTCGTATCTCTTGTGCTAGGTAAGCCATCTCATCAGGAATTTTCGTCCGATTCCCCTTGGACTCGGTATTTTCTCCTTCTTGAGACTCAGCTTGACGCCTTTCCTCTGCTGCCTGTTTCCTGATTCGTCGACTCTGAGTCTTAGTCGGCCGCATGTAGGGTACTCTCTCTTTTCTGGTTCCCCTATCCTGTCGACTGGGCGGGGCTCGGCTGGGTGCCTTCGCGCCTAATCATTCTCGCACGGAGCGTCGAGTGACATTAGGGCCCAACCTCGAGTGCACGGATCGAGTTTGCTGACTACCCCGTCCTCGATTTTCCCGGTCTCTACCCTCCTGCTCAGAAGGTTGGACTCGATCATTCCGGGGCACCCAGGGCGACTTAGAGGTCGATGGGGCCCTCTGCCTTCGCGTTTGTGCTGCCACTGCTCGAGCGATAGCGTCGATCTGCGCAGGCGTAATCATGGGCGGCGGCAGAGGTTGGGGCGCCGAGTCACTCTCTCACCCTCACGAACTGCGCTGACTTAGCTGTTCTCGCAAATCTCCTCCTGCATTGCGGACATTGTTTCCTCTAGAGGCGTGACTCTTCTCTTCTTCTGTCATTCTCTTAACCTTCCGTCCTTCGTGAATTTTCTCAATTGGACTTCTTCCGACTTGCTCGTGTAAAGTACGGGACACAACTTTTAGTCACGATCCCCACAGACGGCGCCCGTGTTGGTTTTAGGACTTTTGGAGGCCTACGGAGGTCCAACACAACCGTTGGTTGGTGGATTCACCGGAAAAATACTACAACATATAGCTTTAGAAAGCGCAATCAAGACTAATGGAACATTCGATTCTTGTGTATAATTTTTGGTTGTCTCTCTGTATTCTCAGAGCTATGCTGCCCTTTACATTTTGGGAAGGGTCCTTTTTATTGTCATCCTTCACCTACCGATTAAATACAAGTTTAAATGCACAGTAATAGAAAATAAAGGGGTTAAGATCCATTGGGTCGCCGTTACTGGGCTCTCCCAATGACTGGATTGACCCACATTATTGACGGTCATTGAAGCAGCAACGGTCACTTGTTGAGCCGACTCTTATTAGTGTCGATTCCTGTTGGTACCGACTCCCTGGACTCGGCTCCCTACTCGTCTAAGCTTTCCTCAAGGTCTGCTCAAGGCTCATAGCGTAGATCTCTTTTATCTTTTTGGGCTCATTGCAGCAAGTCCATCCCTTGGTCCACTCTTTCTTGAGCCTCTAGCCTATTGGGTCCGCACCCCATCAGTGATGATGATGGTAAGTTTTTAATAATGGAGTAATAATATTATAATAATTGAGGATGATAATGGATATTTGATGAGGAAAAATGATAGGATGATTTTTGGATTAGGATTATAGTGGCGATGGGGAGATTTGAATTTCATGATGGAAATGGCGAGATGATGATGATGAATTCTGTTGATAATGATTTTGTTTATGATAAGTGTAATGATTAGAGGATAATGATGATGCTGATTATTTCGATAATAATATTCAGTAATAGTAATAAAAATTAGACTTGATTGATTGATTCACAGGTTCTTATCAATGTGGTTAGGATGCTATTTAGGTTGATAATAAGTTTGGCTTCGAGGTAAGTATTTATGTTCACCAAAACTTATTATTTACCGCAAAATGTATATAAATGTTTTTATGATTTGTGAATGTGATTATGATATGATATTATTATATTTTTATGATGTGTGAATGTGATTATGATATGATATTATTATATATCAAAATTATATGTCCAAAGCTATCTTTGCAAGTTATGTGTGATATGATGTGAATTATAATATTATTGTGATCACAGTTGAATTTATCGATAAATTGTAATGTTGTGAATTGTGATTCTTGAGAGATCGAGAATGGGTTTCGATGTGTCGAGCCTATGTGTTGAGTAAAAGTGTGGCTTGGAAATTTTGGTGTTATATTTGACTTTGTATCACATACACATGTTATGATCCTGATTCTAATTATTGTTAAGGATAGCCGGTGCTACTTGGATCATATACTACTCAGTAGCTCGGAATGGGTGCACATAGGTTTTAGTCCAGATTCTAAGTGAATTTCGATGAGGTTTGTTAATTTTTCACTTATAAATATTACGGAGTAATTCTCTATACAAGGAAAAGTATAACTCCACATGTATTTTGGAAAAGTATAAAAGTATATTAGTTTTGAAAATTCAAATCCAAGCCTATATTTTACGGGGTGAAGTGAAGCTTACTTAGCTTATGCTAATTTTTGTCTACTCTGTACTTTTGTGTCAAATTATTTTTTTACAGGTGAACATGAATACGAATTCAAGATGAGGATGGATTTAGTCTATCTAAGAATATACGCACCAGAAGAATTGGTGTTTGAAGAAATTATTTAGTTGTAATTTTATTTCAAATTTATGTATTAAGTTAAATTTGGATTATTTATTAAGTGTTGTAATATTGGCCTTAGCGTTTGGGTATAGGAGAAATACCTGAGCGTGACGGTAACACCCATTAATAATTAACTAATTAATATGTATTAAAAAGAATAATTGACTGAGAATAAAAATGGCATGAAATTTAGGCCAATTGAATAGGAAATGACTATTAATAATTGACTGAAAATGAAAAATGATTCCAAACTAACTCAGTACATGGAAAAAATATTAATCTCGGTTATATATTTTATAAAATGTAAAGTTACTGGCAGGGACGGAGCCAGAAATTCGGTTGAGGGGGGGCGAAACAGTACAGACGGATTCAGAAAATTTTTCTAGAAAAGGCGAAACATTAAAACAAAAGAGATAATTTAAAAATAAATAAATAAACTACCTAAGAAATATAATTGTAAATATTGTTGGATATCGACGAAAAATAAAACACATCGAAACTTTATAAAAATATTCATAACAAAATATGAAACATAATTAATAAAATAATTTGAATAGAAAACACATTATAAATTACACATCTTATTATAGAGTGTGTGTGTAATAATATTAAAAAAGCTATTAAAAAAGAATTGTAAAACTATGTTAATGCTAAGATTGGAACCCTTAACCTCATTATTACTAAAGTTGTGCTTTACCATCTACTCTAACTCACTTCTTGTTATTATTTTATAGTTTTTTTATACTAATACTAAAACATGTACTATATATACATATATACATACAAATACTATATATGGGGTTGGGTTGGAGTGAGGGGGGGCAGCCGCCCCCCTGCCCCCCCTCTCCCCCCGTCCCTGGTTACTGGAAATATAAAAAAAAAATTTGTATATATATGTGAAATTAATATAGACGTTTGAATTCGGTAACGTTGAAACAAACGTTGTGACACAAATATTTATAACGCAGTTTCGGGCAAGCAGCCCTAATCTGCGAGGCACTTCTCAAATTGAGAATTTGCCTAAATCCACTTAAAAGCTCAATATTAAAGTACACTTTGTTTAGGGAACGGGGATTACACAATATGATTTCCTATCAAGCTATTGAGACCTAAACACTTGTACTACTTTTCAAGGGGATTTGGGTATCTCTCTCAATTACTCTCGTGCTCACAATTAGGTGCTGAAAGCGTATTTTGATGAGTTATGGAGCGGCTCCTTTTATAGGTCACGAGATGAGGTATTGGTGGGATTGGGATTGCTGATCCTCTTTGGATTAGGAATATAAATCTTAAGACACGTTTGATTAAGGATTCCTTGTTTGACTAGAATTTGACAATATGTCTTATGTCAACATTCTCTCCCTTTGTCAAATTTTAGCAAAAACCTTGATCCCCTTTTTCTTTTAATCTAGAGTTGACACGTGGAGGTGTCTGCCCCTAGATCAGTGGATCTCCCCCTTAATTTGTGGTGGTAAATGTTGGAGATCATTTTAGTACTTATGTCTGTTTCTCTTAGAAGAGAGTTTGCCTGTTGTTTGATTCTTCTAGTTGTGTCTGCTAGTTAGTGTCAAAAACACAGAGAATAAGGAGTGGTCTTGTCTATCATTCTTCTAGTTGTATCTGCTAGTTTAGCTAATTCAGTTAGCACCAAAAACACAGAAGACAAAAAGTGGTCTTTGTCTTGTTCTGCTTGTCTATCAATCTTCTGATGCACAAAAGTGGGGACAGCCAACAAAAGTGGGGACAGCCAAAAGAAGGTCTGCCTGCCTACTGGTCTGCTTTTCGGTAGGCAACACACAAAATACACAACCACCCTCTTAGTAGACAACATAGAATACATGTTTTCTCCCCCTTTTTTGCTAAAACTAGTTGTCTGGTTCTGGTGTTGAAACAGGTGTTTCAGCATCTCTTTCTTGGTTGTCTTCTTCTGATCCTTGATCTTGATTGTCTTCATTTTCTGGTTCTTGAGAGTGATCTTGGATATCTTCTCCTGTTCCTTGCTCTTGGTTTTCTTCAATTTCATCCTTTAGTACTGCCAGCCATTCTATTATTTCAGCCTTTTCTTCCTTGATGTTCATGTGTTTTCTTAAAAGATCTTTTTCTGAGGCTTCTAGTTCTGTCAGTCTGCCTTCAAAGTAAGTGATCAGTGTCTTTGAATCAAGTGGGTTATTCTTTGGGGCTGTGGATTTAAGATCATTTTGGTGGTTTCCCTTTCTTAGTTTAACAGTTGTGTTGAAGTTCTTGACAGTGGTCATGGGTCCTTGAGTCTTGAGGCCTTGTTTTGTCAGGATTGAAGAAATGAGGTTTGGAAAGATTAGGGAAGTGTTGGATTTGGTGTCTTCTGCTAAATTTGTGACTTGTGTATGAATGATGGAACCCATGTTGATTTTTACTCCTTTTCCTATTTTGTATAATAGTTCTGCTAAGGTCCATTTCACTGTGGATTCATGGAGAGAGGGCATCCAGTTTGCAAGGGCTATCTTCTGTAGGATTGCATACTTGCTGGTCAGAGAAGCTGCTTTGATTTTGTTCTTTTCAAAGCTAACATTTCCTGCTGTGAGTTCCTTGGCTACTTGTTCACTGTTTAGTTCAATCTCTTGTTCAATCTCAGATGTTCCAAGGCATCTGTTGATGATGTCTGGTGTGAAATCATAGAAATTTCCTCTTACATATACCTTTCCATACAGAGAACTGCTAGGTGTGGTGATGGTTTTTGTCATATTGCAATAGAACTCCTATATAACTTGTTCATCATAAGGTTCAATATTGGTCACTGTTCCCAGGAGTTGGTTTGTGATTAGTATTTCTTGGATCTGTTCTGGATTGTCTATCTTATCTATGGGAAGCAGTTTTTGGCTGATGATTTTCCTTTCTACTATTCTTTTCCATAGGCTTACTGCTTCTTTTCTCAGAAATGTTGTACTGTGAGGTTTTGGTAGGTATGCCAGGTCAGCACTAATACCTACTTTCTGTTTTCCCTTTTCCTTGCTGGACAGTTTATACCTTTTGGTGGTTGGTTCCTTCTTTTGCTTTTCTTTTTCCTTGGTAGTTAGCTGGGACTTCTTTTGGGCTCGGGTTCTTACTCTTTCATCACTATGAGTATCATTCTCTGCATTAGGTGTCCAGTCTTGTTCATCCTCTGTTTGTGTCCTTTTTTATTTCTTGGTTTTTGAGGGTTTAGGTGGGATATTTGGTTTTCGTTGAGGGGGTCCTGCCCGTATTGGAAAATCATTTGGCCTTTTGGCCCTGGGATCAGTCCCTTCATACGGGTCAGTCATCTTCCTCTTTCTAGGGTTTCTATTGACCCGAGGAATTGAAATTTGGGTTTCTTCGATTGGGGTTTGTTCATCATTTGTAGGACTGGGGGGACGATTCACCTCATGATTTTGAGGGTCTTCTTGTCCCTCATTATCAGTCCCCCTTGGATTTTCTTCATCTACAAAGCTAACATAGGAGCCCAGATCAGGTTCCCAGCCTCGATTTATGGCAAACCGGAGTTGTACCACTAAATCATTTGGATCAACAATCCTATTATCCCCAAAATCAGCCGCAATGGGCATGGGCATGGGGATTTCTTCACGATCTGCTAGAGAGTGATTTGGGTTACCTGGTGGGTTGCTCTGTTCTTGGGGTTCACCGAACGGTACTCTGGCTATCGGAACAGGGTTCGTTGCAACATTGGGGCTTTCTTCTTCGACACATACCGGGTTTGAGGACTCTCCGGTGCCGGTGTAGTTTGAGGTACCCTTAGTCGTTCCTTTTCGTGGTAGCTTTCCCATCCTTTGATTTCGTGTTCTTACCATGGTTCTTGTTGTGTGAAGGTTTGGGGTGAGTGAGAAGGTCACAGTTGGGTGTTTGAGTGGAGTCGGGTAAGGATGATGATTCTGAAACAAGGCTTTTGTTTTGGATGGCAATTCGGGTTTGGGTCTTTTTGTGACGGGTCGGTTCTGATTAGTGGGATTATTTGGTGGGTATGGCGTTTTGATTCTGAGACAAGGCTTTTGATTTAAATGGGAATTTGGGTTTGGGCCTTTTTGTGATGGGGCGGTATGATACAACAAACATGGGCTGGTTTTGATTAGTGGGTTTATTTGGTGAATATGGCCCATGTGTTTTTGTTTGTTTGATGTGTATCATAGGATGCATAGGCCTATTTCGGCCCTAAGCTTTGTATACCGGTTTCCATCTAATGCTTTGGTTAAAATATCTGCTAGTTGTTTTTCGGTACTTATGTGAGTAAGAATGATGATTTCATCTTCTACTAATTCCTTTATGAAGTGATGCCTGATGTCAATGTGTTTTGTCCTTGAGTGTTGAACTGGATTTTTTGAGATATCTATTGCGCTTTTATTGTCGCAATGGATTGTCATGGTTGTTTGTTGTATTCCATAGTCCTCCAGCATTTGTTTCATCCAGAGTAATTGTGTGCAACAGCTGCCTGCAGCAATGTATTCAGCTTCTGCTGTGGATAAGGAAATAGAGCTTTGTTTTTTGCTGATCCATGATACTAGGTTGGTGCCTAGGAAAAGACATCCACCTGACGTGCTTTTTCTGTCATCTATGTTACCTGCCCAGCCAGCATCACAATAGGCTAAGAGATGTTGATTGGTATCAAAAGAATACCATATTCCTAGGTCAGATGTCCCTTTAACGTATTTAATGATTGTTTTGACTGCTTTTAAGTGTTGCTCGGTTGGGTTAGCTTGGTATCTTGCACAGATCCCTACGGCAAAGCTTAGATCTGGTCTGCTAGCGGTTAAATATAGCAATCCTCCTATCATGCTTCGATATAGGGTTTGTTCAATTGGTTTTCCTTCTGAATCTCTTGATATTCTTTCTGTTGTTGGAACAGGTGTTCTGACAACTTTGCTTTCTTCTAGGCCAAACCTTCTGACTAAATTCTTGGCATATTTGCTTTGTGATATGAAGATTCCATTGTCTTGTTGTCTGATTTGTAGACCAAGAAAGTAATTTAATTCTCCTACCATGCTCATCTCAAATTCTCCTTCCATGTTTGTAATAAACTGGTTTTTGTAGGTTTTGAGTGATGATCCAAAAACTATGTCATCTACGTATATTTGGGCGATGACAATGTTTTGCCCATAGTGTTTGACAAACAAGATTTTATCCACACTTCCTCTCTTGTAGCCCTTTTTAATTAGAAAGTCAGTGAGTCGTTCATACCAGGCACGTGGTGCTTGTTTTAGGCCGTATAAGGCTTTATTCAGTTTAAACACATTTTGTGGATAGTGAGGGTCTTCAAATCCTTTTGGTTGTGCAACATAGACTTCTTCCTTTAAATATCCGTTCAAGAAGGCTGTTTTTACGTCCATTTGGTATAATTTTATCTTGAGGATGCATGCTATTGCTATGAGAAGTCTGATTGACTCTATTCTGGCTACTGGTGCGAAGGTTTCCTCAAAATCTGTTCCTTCTACTTGGGTGTATCCTTGTGCTACTAGACGGGCTTTGTTTCGTATGATGTTTCCTAGCTCATCTGTTTTATTTTTGTAAATCCATTTTGTCCCTATAATATTGGCATGTTCTGGTTTAGGAACTAACTCCCAAACATTGTGTCTTTCAAATTGTTGTAATTCCTCTTGCATGGCTTCCACCCAGAATTCATCTTTTAGGGCTTCCGTGATGTTTTTGGGTTCAATTTTCGAGGTGTAGCAGTAGTCATAGTCTCCTTCTTCCATTTTTTGATAGTCTCGTTTCTTTCCTCTAGTCCTGATCCCTTCATTTAGTCCTCCTATGATGTTCTCTATTGGATGATTTTTCTGTACCCTGGTTTCATCAGTGGTGTGGATTTCTTCTCTTTCTTCCAGGTCTACAGCTTCTTCTTTTTCTAATCATTCCGGTTCTGATTTCTGGTTGTGTGGTGTTGGAACTGCTGTTTCAACACCAGTTATCTCTTCATCATTTTTTAGGAGATCTTCTGTTGTGTCATTGACCACAACATTGATAGACTCCATGACAGTGTTTGTCCTAAGGTTATATACTCGGTATGTCCGGCTGTTTGAGGAGTACCCTAGGAAGATTCCTTCATCTCCTTTGATATCAAACTTTCCCAATGGTTCTCTATCTTTTAGAATATAACATTTGCTTCCAAACACATGTGTGTGTTTTAAATTCGGTGTTCTTCCTTTCCAAATTTGATATGGTGTCATGTTGATTTCTTTTCGAATGAATACTCGGTTTATCAAGTAGCATGCTGTGTTAACTGCTTCTGCCCAGAATCTTGATGGAAGTCTTTTGTGATTTAAGAGGACTCTTGCCATTTCTTGGATGGTTCGATTCTTTCGTTCAACTACCCCATTTTGTTGTGGTGTTTTTGGTGCGGAGAACTCATGATGAATTCCATTTTCTGTGCAGTATTCTTTGAATTTTGTATTCTCAAACTCTCTTCCATGATCACTTCTTAGGCGAATAATTTTTCCTATTTTTCCCTCTTTTTCATTTTGAATTTTGATAATGAGGGTTTTGAATGTTGCAAATGCTTCAGATTTTTCTCTAAGGAAGTTGACCCATGTGAATCTTGAGTAGTCATCAACTGTTACATAGACATATCTTTTTCCCCCTATGCTTTATGTTTGAGTTGGTCCAAACAGGTCCATGTGTAGTAGTTCTAGAATTCTAGAGGTATATATTCCTGAGGTTTTCTTATGGGCTGTTCGGGTTATTTTGTTTTCAAGGCATGCATCACATTTTTTGTTATCATCTATGTCAAGTGTTGGAACTCCTCGATAGGCTCCCTTCTTTAAACCCTTTTTCATGTCATGAAAGTTTATGTGACCCATTCGTTGGTGCCATAGCTGTGTTTGATTGACGGTTGTCTGTAGGCAAGACAGATCACCATCCCATGTGTAGCATTTATTTGTGGATTTTCTTCCGATCATAACACATTCATGATTATGATTGAGAACATTGCAACTATCTTTTGTGAATTCCACTTTAAGTTCATCTTCACATAGTTGACTTATACTAATCAGGTTTGCTTTTAACCCTTGTACTAGGAAGACTTTTGACAGTTTTGGCAGTCCATGTACACTCAGGATTCCATTTGCAATAATTTTTCCTTTTCCTCCATCTCCAAAGGTAACATATCCTTCATCTTTATAGTGTATGTTCTCTAAATTCTCTGGATTTCCAGTCATATGTCTGGAACATCCACTGTCAAAATACCATATATCTTGGTCTTTGTTTGTTTTGGAAGTGTATGCAACATTTTGGTCTTTTCTTACCCAGATTTTCTTGCTGTTATTTCTGTTGTGTGGTGGCCATGCCCTGCTGTTTTGTCTGTAGTAATGGTCGTTTTGTCTTTTGTAGCAATGTGCTTTGATGTGTCCTAGTTTGTGACAATAGTAGCACCTTATTCTTCTTCGATGTCGGAAGTGCTGTTGCGACACTTCCTGTATTTCAGGTTGGTTATTCTCATTGGTGTCCGTGCTTGGGGTCTCGGGTCTTTCGGTAAGCTCCTTAATTTCTTGTAGCAGTTTTGTTTCTCTGTACTTGAGGTCACGGAGTTCGTTCTGGGCTTCTTTGTATTGTTTCTCTATTCGTTCCTTTTCATTCTTTAAATAGTGATTATCTTCCATGAGTTCTAGATTTTTCTTGATGATTTGCTCCCATTTGGCATTTAGTTGAGTGTATGCCTCCAGTAACTCTTGCATGTCATCACTATTGTTGTCTTCATGACTAGCAGTGAATGCTACGAAGT